AGATACAGAAACGGACTTGAAGAAAGTTCTGTAAGTAGACTGGTTCCCTGTGTTTGTACTTGTCATGAGGGAGGGATATATATAGAGAGAGAAGGTAGAGAGAATGATAGATGTAGGGAAAGAGAGTAATAGGGAAAGGTTTTTACCTTAATATGGGCAGCTGACGATGGAGGCAGATAGAGAGAGATTGAGAAAGAGGTGGAGATTTACAGAGAGAAAAAGCGGGAGAAAATAAGGAGCAGAAAAAGGGAGAGATTTGTAAATAGAGAAAATAGAGAAAAGGTAAAAATATTGAAGGCAAGATAGTAGAGAGGGAGATAAAGAGAGTAGGAAAGAGTGAAAGGGACAGAGTGAGGCGAACGGCATAAAGGGTTGGGGGAAACAGTGAAATACAGAAACAGTGCAGAGAGACCACAACAACGATAGAGCTAGAAATCGAAAGGGTGAGTGAGAGAGAGAGAGTTATATGGAGAGTGAGAGAGAGACAGATAGGAAGGAAATAAGGTAAGAGAATGAGAAATACACTCTATGGAGCAAAAGGCTCTCTTCTTCTCTCTTACATTATTTCCTTCCTCTAGCTCATTTCCTCTCCGTCTGCCTCTCTCAACCTCTCATCTTTTCTCACTCCCTCTCTCTCTTTCTCTCTCTCTCTCTCTCCATTCCTCCTTCTTATCCTTCCTTTTTTTCTCACTCTCTCTCTCTCTCTTTCTCTCTCTCTTCCTCTCTCTCTCTTCATTCCTCCATCTTACTCTACCTCCTTGGATATGTTAATGAGATCCGCATAGATCACATACAAGTCGTGATACCTTTCAGTCTCAGGGCATGCCAAAGAAATAAACAACTCTGCTGTTGTTGTTTTCGTGTTGTTGTTGTTATTTTTTTTTTTTGCTTCTTGTTTTTCATTCAGTAAAAAATGTGCAGCGAATCCAAGTTGGACGCAGACATCGTCGGATGTCCGTGCTCAAAGCATTTTTTTCTCTCTCTAGCTCTAGCACAGGTTGCCACACACACACACACACACACACACACATAGATACATGCATATGGATAGACACACTCATGGTACAGTTAGTCTAGTCCAAGTTGGACTTGGGTTACGTAATTGGGCGACCAGCTAAGCAAACCAAATGCGGCAGCCACTCAGCGAATCGCTCAAGCGCTTCGCTATATATTTTTTTAATGTTTACTTCTTTTATTTGTTAGCTGCTGCAGTTGCTTCTCCCTCTCTTTCTCTCATTGGCTGCCTCTTCTTCATTGTTAGCATTTAATCTTCGCATATGCAAATATGCAAAAGTCGCAAAAAGAAGAAAAAAATGTTTTCGGCTAGGTGTTGCAATCAGAGAGCTGCCACATGGCAAGTGGCAACATGTTGCACACACACACACACACACACACGCACACATACACATGTGTATATATATGCCAGCTCATTGTGAACTAGTTCGCTCATAAAGCTATCTTAATTCCATAATTTATTAGCATAGGCAACACTTAAGATATGAATGTCCATTCGTAATATTGTTGTGCGTGTAACAAATTGGAGCTCTATGTAAGCTGTAAAACTAGGTCTGCTCGTATATTCATATATAGATATAGATTTACATATGTATAATCAGTTCAAATGTTCAGCTCTTCTGATTTAGTTCATTTATTCAAGAACATTTCATGCGAAAATCCATCCATATGAATAAGATTTGAATTTATCTATAAATATCCTGTAGAAATATTGTATATGTATATATATCATCATATAATAGCTAACAAAAGAAAACTAAAAAGAAATCATTATCTTATATTATATTATGTCTAGARCCTTAATGAAAAATTATATAAAAGTTATATAGAGGAATTTTCTATTCGAGTATATAGAATCAAAAATTTTCAATATACATTTATTATGCTCTGCTTTAACATGTTTAAAAGATGTTTATATCTCGTCAAATCCCATCAATAACCTCAAATAACTTGGGCTCTATAAGCACTAGAGCTAACAAACTTGGTATGTGACTTAGGTACATCATATACATTGAAAATAAATCGAAAATCTTCAAAGGAGTATGAGGCTAATGCTGTAAAGGTTAAATATGATTATAAAAGATTTATTAATTTTTTTTTAAATAGCAAAGATCAAAAACTTTCTGCATTTATTTAGATGCACAAACATTAGCGACTTTTTAAGCGTCTACAATCTTTTGGAAAAGTATTTTTTGTTTTTTTTATTGCCTCAGCTCATATATATTCCAAGTAGCTTGGGAACTGTTGAAGCTATAGTTATCAAATTTGGTTTGCTCAATAGTTGATACTGTCAAAGTCAAAGTTAAGTCATGATTTAAATTCGTACCGTACATATTGTACAATATGTTACTCTTAGATATCTGCTATATGTCTATATGTCCATATGACTATACGACTATGTGTCTATATGTCTAGATGTCTATTTGTCTATATGTCTATATGTCTATATGTCTATATGTCTATATGTCTATATGTCTATATGTCTATATGTCTATATGTCTATATGTTTATATGTATATATGTCTATATAAGAAAAAAAGATAGAACGGGGAAAAGAGGGAGAGAAAAAGATAGAGATAGAAGAGAAAGGATAGAAATAAGTTCTATAATTCATGATAAGCTCCATAAAAGAATTTTATATTGCTTAAGCTTAAGAGAGAGAAAGAGATAGCTGCAAAAGCTCGTGTCTAAGCAAAGTTCAGCTTAGCTTAGATCAGCTCAGCGCAGCTAAAGCTTTTTTGAAGTCTGCTTTTCAGCATGGACTTTAAGCGGGTTTCAAGCAAGCGAAAGCTTTTTAACGCAATTGCCTTAAAGTATGCCAGAGAAACTTAGATTTGTCTTTTGCTCTTCTTCTTGCAGAGGAATGGATAACGAAGCGAAAGACGGAGCTGACGACAACTAGACAGATCGAGACGCGTGTGAAGCGACAGGTGAAGCTGCAGGATGGCAAAGTGATTGAGGACTCGGGTCCAATAGTCTCCACAAATACAACCGAGGATACGGACAAGCAGGAAACGGAGACCTCGGAGGTAAATAGCCCAACTCTGCCCCCTGCCTCTCCCCCTCCATCTCTTACGTTTATCATTCTTTGGCATTTGCAGAAACGTGACTTGGGGCTGCCCGATGATTTGGATGGCGATGCCCAGCTGATCGATGCAGCAGCGCTGCAAGCGGGCGCTGCCAACGAGACACAGCTTGCCCAGCTGCAGGAGGCGTTCGGCATCGATGGCGGCAAGTTGGTCAAGCGCATGGTGCCGCGTCCCAGCGACGGCTTGGTGCGCCAAGTGGACGACAAACGGGTCATATCGCACGAGGAGATCAAGGACTACCTGGAGACGGAGGATGTCAGGCACCTGGGCGACATCACAGACGAGGTAAGCAACAACAATTCTGAAAATGCCACGCTGCAGCAGCAGCAGCCGCAGCAGCAGCACTCGGCGCTGTGGTAATCCGAGACGCAACAGTTAAATTGGCATGCAAAATAACTGAAAATCAATTTGGCGTGAAAAAAAGCAAAAGCTAAAGAAACAAGTAGACAGTCCACTTTGTGGATGTGGCGCGACAGCGTCATACCCTGTAGTGGAGCGTGAAGTGATCTGAGCGGATAGCAATTCAATAGGAACGCGAGAAGAGAGCGAATGGCGTGTGTAAGGGAAAGGGTGATGACAAATAGCGAGCAAGCGATAGGATGGAGAAGATAGAAGATAGATAGATAGATAGAAGAAAGAATGAAAGATAAGATAATGGAAGAGCGAGAGAACGATGAATGGAAAACCATAAAAAAGATAAAAAGACGGTAAATACCATATAGTGATTAGCCATAGATATGAAATCAATAAATAAATAGGAAAAATCGATAACGAAAGAGAATTTGTTGAAAAATCTACATACAATTTTCAAATAAAATAAAACTGCGAATGATATGATATAAGGCCTTGTAATGAGGTATATGGAATGCGGCATACAGATATACGTACTTATGAATTAAGCATTCGTTGCTGATACCGGCCTTTGCCTCCTATAGGCAGTCCTACATATATGAATCAAGTTTCTAGATATTATTTCGAGTATTTGCCAGCTTTGATACAMATATATTCATATAGAATATTTATATATCATTAGCTTGACAAGCTGAGTCGCTATAGGCATGTTTCTTTGTCTGTTCGTTCCTCTTTCCTGTCTGTTGTCTGTATTTCCATATTAATGCAACGACCTTCTATAGTTACAAAGGCTATGCCATAAATGTTCTATATATATACATAAAATATTTTTTTGTTCGATAAATCATGCCTATTTCTGATCGATAAAATTTTTATATTTTATTTTCTATAAAGCAAATACAAATATAAAGTATGAATGAAGATGAATGCACAAATATGCACAAATATTGATTTTGCACATGAGTGAATGAATGATTATGCATGAATAAATATGAATATGAATGAATGAATGACTATGGATGATTAAATGAAAGTATGAAATAATGAATACGAATGAATGCATATGAATGGATGTTTATGAATGAATAAATATGAATATGAATGAATGAATATTAGTGAATGAATGATTAAATGAAATTATAAAATAATCAATGTGAATAAATTCATATGAATGAATGATTAAAATGAAAATGAATGAAAGATTTTGAATGAAAATGAATGAATGATTATGAATGAAGAAATGTAAATATGAATTAATGAATGAATAAATATGAAAATGAATTTATGAATATTAATGAATGAGTATGAATGAGTAAATATGAATATAAATTAATGAATATTGTTGAAAACACATTACAGGTATGCAATACATATGTATATATGATCATTTTGTTAAGAACTAACGATCAAAACGAATTTAAAAATCGAACTCAGCTCTTCTCTTAAGGTATTCGCTAGTCGTGCACGCCCGTTCGCTGGTGCTGCAAATGCATGCAGGGTATAGGCAAAGGCAGCAACTGCCAATGGGCAGCGGCAACCAGTTGCTGTTGTTGCTGTTGCTTGTTGCTGCCGCTTTAAAGCTCATTCGAAAGTTAAAAAGAGTTGCTGCTGTTGTTGTTGCTGTTGTTGTTGCTGTTGCTGTTGCTGCTGCTGTTAGCTGCCGCAACGAGCCGAGCGCGCTGCATCTGAGGCTGTCTTCAGTCGCCGCTGAGCGAGCGCCGAGAGCAGACAACAACTCGATCACTCGCGCGATTATAATTTCGTCTAAGATCTTGATCTTAAGTTTTGTTTAGTTTATCTTTTAGTCTGAAACGGTCTCTCGCTCGCATTCTCTCTCTCTCTCTCTCACTCACTCGCTGACACTCGCCTGCTCAACCCTTTGTGGCTGTGTTTTTTTTTTCATAATTTTTGTTGTTGTTTTTTGTTGTTGTATTTGGTGTAATTTTGTTTTCCTACGCACGCCCGCCTGTGATTTTGTTGATACTCACGCCCCGCTTA